CATAGAAGCCCACCCCCCCCCCCCCCCCCCCCCCACTGTGTTACAGAGCACGGCATTTAAACATCCACGGTGGCGAGATGTTATCTCCCTCGCCTGGTATGCAGGAGGTCGTGGGTTAAATCCTGACCTTGATGCCTGTATATTCGGAGTTTGCATGTTTTGCCCATGGTCGCTTGGATTTGTCTCCGGGTCCTCCGGTTTGTCTCTCCACATTGAGACTCGGCGTGCGTTTGGAGTGGCTGCTATAAATTTCCACCTGACAAGTCAACTCCATTGGGCTGTCATTTGTGATAGCCAGGTCGCTTCGGAAAGAAAAAATTGCGGCATAGCTCAGTGGGCCTTACCTAGTCAAATAAACTTAGTTTTTATATGAAGCGAGTTGGAAAAGTGTGGGTAGTTGACAGAGAAGAGGGGGGGGGGCGAGTGGGGGAAGGGTGGCAGAGCGTTGCGCGCGAGGTGACATTGACGCTAACAAGACATGGGGGTGGAAGTGGGAGGAGGAAAGTTGCTTGCATAGGGTTTGGCACCCTGGTACAGGCACGCACGGAATACGCGATGGCATGGCACGCACACACACTCCGAGACTGACATACACGGCCCCCACGCACACACGGTGCACTCACTCGTATTGCATCACACGCGTACAGACGTAATATGAAAAATATTCAATAATGAATTGGCAATGCGTTCCATGCAGGGCCATCCTGGAAAAGTCTCAAGTCTCACTTAGAGGGCTTTTACTCGGTAATTAAAGCGTGCATTGTTGCTACATACGCGTGCATACATACAGGGATACACATGCACAAGACAATGATCCCCTGTGTAGCCATCGCAGACTTTTTTGGGGCAAGTGCTGTTAGCGAGCCCCATGCCCAGCCACCTTTGTCTTATCCACTGCTGATTTTTCATTCCAGCGACATGTCCTATTCAAGTCCACAAATGCATGTAATAATAAGTGTCCGGCCATTCTCAATCCACCAATGGATGAAGGCCTACTCACGCCATATCAGTTAGAGAGTCGGTCTCTTCACACATATACCATACTTCAAGGCCGTAGCCATGGAGTCAACATTGGGGGGGACCAAATCTTCCAGGGGGTCTGGGGGTCCCCCCCCCAGAAAAAAAAATCTAAATTTGAAAACCAATTTCTTGCCATTAAAAAATTCACTAACACATAGGATGGACTTTTTATTTATTTTTTACAATAATGTCTAATAGTGTATTGTATTACATTTCTGTTTTTTCTTTTTTACCTTTTCTTGTTTCATTGTATGTAATGGCAGAAATTGGGGATTAATAAAGTACAACCATAACTACAATCATATCAACAGAAATCTATTTTATAGCAAGATATTTCGGGGGGGGACATTTTGAGCATATTTGAATATTGGGGGGGATGTGCCATACTTCATCACGTTGGTCAGCGCGGGTTGATGCAGGTCCCGGCTGTGGTATCGCGTGCCCGCTGATGTTAGCTGCAGCAAGGGAATCGAACTTGGGTAACTGGGTCCATAGCGCAGCACCCTTTGCACTACGCACCCCCCCCCCCCCCACAAAGAACACGCACAAAGGCTTAAGCACCAACGCATGGCGTGGCGTGGAGGGTGCAGATTGGTATGTGCCAATACTGTAATGTAAGCATGGAAATAGTACACTGATAACATTTATTTGAGCCTCGTTTTATTATGTTATAAATGTTACGGTACATTAGGTATGGTTTCAAAATTATTATTTTTTTAAAGCTCCATTTGCGAAACAGCTCACATGCTGTAAACAGCATCGAAGTGTACATTTTAAACGCACGTCTCACCCGGGTGGAGCAGTGGTGCAGTGGTGAGGACACTGCGCTGCGAACCTGGTGACCTGAGTTTAATTCCCGGCCATGGCTAACATCAGTGGTGAGTGATAGCTGATTAGCCCCCCCCCCCCACTCACCACACACTGTGTACCGACCATCGTGGTGAAGTATGGTGAAATTAAGCCCCGACCAATAGGGCGTGGGCAGCCTTCATTCATCAGTGGATTGACGACGAACCATACGTTATTTAACATTATTATCGTAACCTTATTTCACGATGTGACACCCTGAATTGGGGAGTTTATTTTTTTTGGACATTCATGTCCAGTGGGGTGGTTTTTTTGCATGTGGAAGGAAACCAACGTAGCTGGAGAAGACCTGTCCCTACATACTCTTAGAGATTGTTGTTACAATCCCACTTGCTGTACTTACCATCTGCTGGCCTCCTAAAAAGCAGCGGGCTTGAAGAATCGTCACAATCCGGTGTCGTGACTCATTTAAAGAATTGTATTCCTGGCCTGTAACAACCTGCACTGGTGAAGTATGGTCAAACCATCCACCGCAGACCCACATGGCGTGGTGAGGTCCTTATGCAGCAGTCGATTGACAAAAGAGGCTCTACACGTATGTATGTTTATAGATCGATGCATAATTCCACCGATAGTAATTACGTCGGGATAATTATCGTACTTTTGTTATAATTCGCCTGTGGGTAATTGTGGCACACACAAAGGTTTACACTTGAAAATAATGATTGGAATGCAGTGCTTTTATGATTAAAATACAGCATTCCTCTACCCAGGAAAGCTTCAACTCTGTCTGAACGATTAGTCCTGTTTGGGATTTTTGGCCAACACCTGATTTTTTTTATTGTCATTATGTAAGAGTAATCCGGGACACCCAGAGTAAACCCACGCGGTACAGGCAGATGTTACTCAAACAAAAAAAATCGAATGGAATCACACAGTCAACCTACTTTTTGTACTGGATTTTGGAAGGGCATCTTGTTAACCCTGCAAGGTGGGACTTTCACAAATTGTTCGTGCTCATCTCTTTATGGTGCACCAATCCTGCCTAAAAAGTGACATGTGGCCACGTATCACCATATCCGCCATAGGGTCTTTATCATACATCTATCGGCAGATGTGGGTACTTTGGTAATAACCAGGGCATAATGTCAGATGGTTTTGTCTGGGTCGGTGAGCCGGTACATCTTTCTCCTCCTTGCACACCACATCCACCATACTTCTCCGCTATGACTATGGGTAATTGACATGTGCCTACTTTACGTCTACAAGTGATCCGGGAAATGTTCACAGATAAATGAAGCCCTCGCAATGACACTCCACAGAAATTGCCCGGCGCCTGTAGTGGGAACTGAAAACGTTCAAGACTATTCACAGCAAATGAAATGCAGTAGTACATTTAGGCTGCAAGGCATCATGGGGGTAGTCCACATTCCCACAATACCTTGCATGCCCTCTGTTGGTGTGCATCTGTACAGCAGACTCTGCGTTGATGCAGCCGATGCTTTATAACGCTTGGCTTGTGCGGCATTTCTACGTTGCGTTTTTTTTGCATGCGAAGCAACACAACATCCGTCAACGGGCGGCGAGGCTGCAGAGGTTCACGGTTCAATTTCCAGCGGCCGCCCTGGTTAATACTGCGTTGCGTGCATTAACTGTATTAATGCCACTACGCGCCGTCTGCTTCACTCACAGTGGGACTTTAAAGGTCCCCTGACGTTCATCGCAAGAGTGGGCCATTGCGTGCCGACGCGTCCATGTCCAAATTTGCCAAAATCCGAAAGTAACCCGTGAACTACTCACTTGGGATTGCACTAATCAGCGACCATCGCCCCTTACTGGCACACTAATGCCCCAGATGACTCTTGAAGGTTACATTGATCCTGGTCTCCTGAGTTCTCAGCTGGTTAAGCTTAAAAGTTGAACTAATTTCACCCATTTGTGGATTATCGTTGGCGCATTGTCTCGAATAATCATTCCAACTTAACAAGAACATCCTCTTGGTTTCAATCTATCCTAAAATCCATGCTTTGTGCCGAATGCAATCAGAACATTTCACGGCTACCTCCTATCTCCTACACCTTGTACAGTACCTTCAAGGTAAACTGTACACTGTATTGTTACACCACGCGTTGTGTTATATAATGTAATGTTTGCTTTTTAAATACTTTCATGGTTTTCATTTGTTTAATGTTTTTCTATTTGTCGTACTGTATCGTTCACATTTGAACCTTATGGCGGTATCCCGGGGTACCATAGCACCCCGGCTCTCGCACGATGTCCATGATGCAGTCACGTTTAGTCTGTCGATGGTCAGCGATGCGGCAATCGACTCATCTCGACGAGCTGTACATGATGCACTAAGCAAAGCTGAATTTTTTGATAACGGATTTTTTATGCTCATGTTTGGCGTTTCGACATTGCGGAGTGGCACTGATTGCGGATTGATTGGTACCCCAGTCGCGGAGTTAAGTACACCCCTAGAAAAAATAGTGTCCCAGAAATAAAATATTTAATTGCCTCGGCCATTTTGTATTATTTGGTACCTCGGGGTACCGCTATAATGATAATTTTATCAATAGATTAAGAGTTTTCATTTTCAGAAACATTACATCTAAAATACTGTGCAGAAATTTACACCTGATTAAAAAAACCTAATCGGATCGACTGACAGAATCTTGTTTGTTTCACGAAATCTTGTATTTGATTATCTTTGTCTCGGAATGGGATTATTGATACAATTAGGGCCACAAGATCGAATTAAAAGCAGCCCCGAACCCCGCACCCTCCGTTAGCACAATAACAGCGCAAATTGTTATTGCACACCTCCGATTAGCACGCTTGGCTACGTACAGTGCGAAAGAAGTTCATCATGCATATGTACACGCAAATTATTTAGCCAAGAAGGCCTCACCGATTCTCTAGTGTCCGTTTCAGGAGGGTCCTGCATTGGAAAGTTTCGCCATTAGAGATCACCTAGCTTCACGTGGGGTTGTCACGGTGCCTTCTGTGTTCACATTTACAAAATGAAAATGTATCTGGTTGTGTGAAAATACACTGGGAAAACAGTCAAAGTATATATATTTTTTAAACCATCCACTATATATTCTATAATTGTACGGACAAATATTTTACCTGTCAGCACAATGCCCTTTATTTATCCAGAAGATTCTCACCTGAGTCTTTAGACTCTTCTTTGAGGAGGGTCCTGTATTGGGATGTTTGGCCAATACCACGAACGAGTGTTTGACTCCATGTGGGAAGCAAACCGGAGAGACCGGTGAAAGTCCCCACCACAAGATACGGCAGGGTGACACCACCTGGCTACCTCGCAGCCCCACGCCAACAACGGCACTCTGCCACGCCTTGGTGCTCTGGCATCTTAACCCTTTCGAATTCTGATGACGTACGTACGCGTCATCAGGTCTTTCCTTCCGATTCCGTTCCAATGACAATGCGTGTACGTCATCGGAACGGAATCGGAAGGAGAAGGCCATGCGGGAGGTGAGTGCAATGTCTTTAAAAACAACGGCGCCACGTCTCTCTAAGTATAATTAACGCCGAGCCCAGCTATCACAGAGTGCGGTCGTGTTGCGAGAGTTCAGTGCGGTGAGTGCAATGTCTTTAAAAACAACGGCGCCACGTCTCTCTAAGTATAATTAACGCCGAGCCCAGCTATCACAGAGTGCGGTCGTGTTGCGAGAGTTCAGTGCGGTGAGTGCAATGTCTTTAAAAACAACGGCGCCACGTCTCTCTAAGTATAATTAACGCCGAGCCCCTTACGTTTTCCGAGGTTTAGCGGTGAACGGGACCCACCCTGCAAACGTCTGGGAACGTGAAAAGACTGATAATTAATTAACCGGGCTCAACACTGCTGAGCTTCCAGGTTCTGATGCGATCGCACACAATTCAGGGAGACATTGTCATCGGCTGCTATCCTTAACGCTAAGATGGAAATCAGTCCATCCATCCAACAGACAACGGTGTTCAGATCGCATCCAAAGCTTAAGGCAAGTTGAGGACGAGTGGATTTAACTTTGATTAATGCTTAGAAAATTACAGAAAGTAGGGTTAATTGAGCAATAAACTTCGCATGCAGTATTTCTCATTGCAGGCACAATGCAAATTCCGAGTGCTGTCAAACCCATGTGACCTCATTGCAGGCTGTCATTCAGCCGCTCTTAAAAGGTGCAACAATTCTCATTTTCGATGTAAGCAATATCGGTGTCGTCGCACGTGTTGTTGCGAACGCAAGTGCAATTTTGTTTCCTGCGCTAATGGCCGCGATCCCATCTTAATTATAGAGGGCGACACGCGAGCGCTGTGTATAGTTCGTTGTTGTCGTCGTTGTGGCCACGGTATTAGTTCAGCGTCACTTTTGCCACCCTTTACTTCCCTCTTCATCAACCCGTTATACACTTACACCGGACGGACAATTCGATTTTAATTTCCCCCTTCGTTAATCACCTCATCGGATCGCCGCCACAAGATCCATTCGCTTCGGTGTCTGTCCATTTTGCCAGGCGAGGGAACCCATTGTGAGGTTGATTGTCTCCCGCGAGGAAGATGGTTTTTTTTGGTGTTTGTGCCCCTGTGTTATGCTCTCGTATGTATAGGGTTTTTTTTTCTTGATCCTATGCTTCCCCCCAACATGCAATACATTATCGGCCAAACTTGCCAATGCAGCACTCTATTGTGTGTATGTACTGTACGCTGAACTTCTTTCACACCGTACATACCCAACAGTGCTAATCATAGACGGGGGGAAAAAACAACAAACTTAACGCAAAAAAGCATATGCGTGCATGTAAAGAACTCTTGAAACCCTCCTGGATAAATCTTCATCAGCCACAGCCAATTCACTATCGGATGAAGTCCTCCCCAAGCCACCGCCATTTCCAACATTTCATCACTCCATCTCCTCGGTGCACGACCTCTCTCCCTCTCTCACACGTTCCATTCCTTCGCCGCCACCGCGTCATTGATCTTTCCAATCGACCATCGTCCCTTCGAGCCATGACATGTCCTGGCCAAGCCCACTACTTTTCTCAACAGTTTGAAATGTCTTCTAAACTGCCCATGTTCTTTAATCCTTTGATAAATAAATTACTGTTATTATGTAACAGCAATGACCCACAACTGCTTTGTAAAGGATAATGAATCTCAATGGGTCCCCTTCTGGTTTCATGAAGGACAGAACATTTTATATGTGATGAAAATACAGTTAGGTATTAGTAATGTCTGCTGACAATGCGACCTCCATCCAAGTGATTTGGAAGGTGAAGAGTTCAAATCCTGGTTAACGGTCAAATCAGCTGATCAATGCTTAAAGGTTGATACATGAAGTAGATTATTTCTTGTTGGAAGTCAATAGTGGTCTTCAAAGGGAGAAACTGGCCCCCATTATAGAAACGTGGAATTTCCAACAGAGGCTTATGGCCAACAAACAAATTCATGATCACCACCCCACATTCATTTCACAATTTGACTCTGCCTCTTTTATCACGATATGATGACAAAAAATAAAACTTCTTCAGTTGGCTTCAACGTTTTAAATGAATACTGCAATGAATACTTCACATGTTTTTTAGGGGACACGCCAACCTACACAGAGTCGACGACTTGGAAACACATCTGTCATGCATGTGTGCGCGTTATGTGTGGTACATGTAGATTCGCGGTGGCGAGATGTTATATCCCTCGCCTGGTATGCAGGAGGTCGTGGGTTCAATCCTGACCCTGACAACTGTATCTATGGAGTTTGCATGTTCTCCCCGTGGTCGCATGGAGTTTTCTGCAGGTCCTCCAGTTTTTCCCTCCACATTTAGAAAAATGCGTTTCGATTAATTGGCTGCGGAAAATTTCCACGTGATAAGCCATTTTATTCAGCAACCATTTGTGGCCAGGTCGCTTCTGAAAAAGAGCTACGAGCTCAGTGGACTATATCTGGTAAATAAAATATTTTAGTTGAGAAATAGCCAATATGCAGTCGGTCACCATTAAGTAGGTCGGCACATCTGCATGTTCTGCGAATTTATGAAAAGGACAAAGGCTGCATCGTGAACGGAGATCGTTGGTCGCTCGAGATATTATCGTCGCTGTCCGGACCGTAGTGCGAGAATAAAAATGTCCCCACAATAAGACGTCGTCAGGTAATCCACCGGCCCTTAACAGCTCGGCCCGGATTCGCCTTCATGTTTCATCGGTAGTGGCACTCGCCCTCTGATCCAGTGCTTGGGAGACACACAAGGTGGCAGGGCAGCAAATGGGTTATCGGATCCATCTGTGCGGAGATTTGAGTGATTTGAACAGAAAGCAAAAATATTGGACGAAAAGGTTGTATTCAGTGGTTGGACGGATGTGTCAATACTGAGAAACTCCCAACAAGGGAAGCAAACTGTCAGACATCTCTTAAGCAGTGCAGCGCCCTAACAGGATCGATGCATCTTCCTGGCCTTTTCATTGTGTACAACTGAATCCTGAAGAAGCTCCCAGCACATGGAGTGAAACGTCGGACATCGTGCCGAATAAACGCGGGGCACGAGCCGGAGGGCTATACAGCAGCACAACCGCGAGAACCACGCAGCAAGCCGACGATTGGCTGTTGGTGATCACAATTGCTCACATTCTTGAATATTGCACTTCAGGCCATTATAGTTTGGTTCATTTGATTTTGATAATGAACTTTGCCGCTCTTAATGTTGCTGCCGCCTGCTGTATGTAAGACCCCAGAGTCCAATCTTGCTGCGTTGGCTCGGTGACAGGCACAGAGTGAGCATAAGGCAGTTCAATCAGGGCGTAGAGAGCTCTGTGAAATTTGTTTTTTTTGTTTTCCCACCCCTTCAAATGTAATCCAATACCACACTCCATGTCATGTCACGCGACAGAGAAATGCGATACGGAAATTTCCATTCCGGACTCTCAACGTGAGCAGTGCACCACCTTGGGATGGAGAATTACCTTTGACAGATGCTGCTACGAAACTACTGTTTTTGGCAATGACTGCAGTTGGCCTCTTGACCACACAGTCTCCGACACTTTCATGCCCGACAAAAATGTTAATCGCGTGGCAGTAAAACAAAAATGTTGATCCTAAGCGCTGGAATGTTTCTTAAATTAAGTTACAGAACAAATATATAGTGATGAGTTTCTGTGTATGCAGTGTCTGTGTGTGAAGTCATTGGTGACGAGGTTATAAACTCCATTTATCAAACATTCAACTCGCAATCCTTCAACAGTTTTATTTATTTTACCAAGTAAAGCCCACTGAGCTATTAGCTTTTTTCAGATCTGGCTTGACCACCCATGATTGGTCATCGAGAGTGGCTGATATCATCATCATCGTCAAATGTGGCAATTCATAGCAGCAGCCAAATCATCTAAACGCACGTTGATTCTAAATGTGAACGGGGGGCAAAAAACGGACGACCCGGAGAAAAATCCACGTGACCACCATGGGGATAGAGCGAGAACCCGCGACCTCCTGCGTACCAGGCAAGGGAGATCACATCTCTTCGCCATCGCCGGATGGTGTCCGAAACCAGGATTTAATATTGCGAGGCATTTGTTTGCGTGGGCCATTAGTGACCAGGCTGAGACTATCAGCTCACTACACTTGTTTAATTACAGGAGGCTGAAATGCGGATTCGAAGCCATGATCTCAGCTGGTGCTCGGCTCGTTGCTGTGACACAGCATTTGGTCATCGCAGCCACCCATCCACCTCACATGCTGTTAAAATTGCACCGCTTTTAAAGCAGATACTATTTCCTACGCGGTGTCAGGTTCTGCGATGGTGGAGTCACGTTTTATTTCAAATAAACAAGTCCAAGCGGAGGGGGGGGGGTGGAATATATCGGATATAAACACGAAAAAACCGTGGACCTAATTTTGTTGTTGTTGCAATTAGTGTCAGGCTGAGTAATGATGTGGTTGCTAGGCGATGGCGGGGTTGTCATGACGACGGGCAGTGCGGGCCACGTTGTGGAAAGGCCAGGGCATAGGTTGGAGGGATGTATTTATTGCCAAAAGGCAGAAAAAATATATAAAAATAGGAAATTGTAGTGGAGGAGGGGGGTTGGGTAGCAGGATGGTGGTGGAGAGGTTGTGAGTGGTTTGAGGCTGTGAGTGAGGGTGGAGGTCAGAAAAAGGTGGAGGTTTAATAACACGAGTCGTGCTGACTTGCGGTTCCTTGCCTCTGCGCCGCAGATATGTAGGATTCCTGATTCGGCCGCTATATCCAGTGCTCTTGTTACCATCTGTCCTGATTTTGCAAAGATTGTCTCTCTTGTTGAGGTAGCTCCTGCTGA